CGCAAAGCAAGTGGGGAGCATAACAATGCTATGAAAATACAGACATGTAAGTGGAGCATGCGGTCTACGCAGGCAACGAAATTGATCATAAACATGCGGTCTACGCAGATAATGAAATTAACAAACATGCGGTCCACGCAAGAAATGCATGCGGTCTACGCAAGCAATGAAATTAATATGGGGTCTACCCAAATGAAACATGCGGTTTACGCAGGTAATGATATTAAACAATCATGCGGTCTACGCAAGCAAAACATGCGGTCTACGCAAGTAATGAAATTGAACAATAATGCGGTCTACGCAAGGAAAGAAATTGAACAATTATGCGGTCTACGCAAGCAATACATGCGGTCTACGCAGGTAAAGAAATTGAACAATAATGCGGTCTACGTAAGGAAAGAAATGAACATGCGGTCTTACGCAAGTAAAGAAATTGATCAATTATGCGGTCTACGCAAGCGATACATGCGGTCTACGCAGGTAAAGAAATTGAACAATAAATATGTGGTCTACGCAAGGAAAGAAATGAACATGCGGTCTACGCAAGTAAAGAAATTGATCAATTATGCGGTCTATGCAAGCAATACATGCGGTCTACGCAGGTAAAGAAATTGAATAATAAATATGCGGTCTACGCAAGGAAAGAAATGAACATGCGGTCTACGCAAGTAAAGAAATTGATCAATTATGCGGTCTACGCAAGCAATACATGCGGTCTACGCAAGTAATGAAATTTGAACAATAATGCGGTCTACGCAAGCAAAACATGCGGTCTACGCAAGTAATGAAATTAATATGCGGTCTACGCAATCAAAACATGCGGTCTACGCAGGTAATGTAATCGAACAATTATGCGGTCTACGCAAACAAAACATGCGGTCTACGCAGGTAATGAAATTGAACAATTATGCGGTCTACGCAAGCAAAACATACGGTCTACGCAAGTAATGAAATTGAACAAACATGCGGTCTACGCAAGCAATACATGCGGTCTACGCAAGTAATGAAATTGAAGAATAATGCGGTCTACGCAAGTAATAAAATTAATTACAAACATGCGGTCTACGCAGGTAATGTAATTAGCATGCGGTCTACGCAGGTAATAAAATTAAACAATTATGCGGTCTACGCAAGCAATACATGCGGTCTACGCAGGTAAAGAAATTGAACAATAATGTGGTCTACGCAAGTAATAAAATTAATTACAAACATGCGGTCTACGCAGGTAATGTAATTAGCATGCGGTCTACGCAGGTAATAAAATTGAACAATTATGCGGTCTACGCAAGCAATACATGCGGTCTACGCAAGTAATGAAATTAACATGCATGACAATGCAAAAGTGGATACAAAATGTTATGCAATCTATACAAAGCAATGTAAAAATAATGCAAATGAGGCACGCATGCCAATGCAAAATAATACAAATGAAATAAATGAGACACGCGTGCCTCATAAGATGCAAAATGATGCAAGTGTAGCACGCATGCCACACGGAATGTAAGACGATGCTAAGTGTGACACGCATGCCATACGGAATGTAAATGGACTAAAATGCGTAACAACGCACGTGTTTCGGAATGCATGACAATGCACGGAATAAAAAATGCAATGATAATGCATGAGAGATGTGCATAATAATGCAAGGGGTGCGTGTTACAACGCATATAGTATGTGCATAACAATGCAACTGTGAGGCGCATGACAACGCGATGTAATGCACCGAAGTAGTGCGATGAACGCGTGCAACGCACATGGGGCAACTTTTGAAGTTAAAAGGATACAAAAAGGATACACCTTGCACGAATTCGAGTGCCACGCACAGAAGACACGACCCGAGGTCACAACGGAGGCCGGTTGAGCGTCGGAGATGCACTTTCTTGCATTTTATTGAGCTATGAAGACCAAAAACTTCTCATATGGCCTAAACAAGGCTGTGGGAACACCACCGGCCGGGAGGGGAGGCCACCGGCTGTCCACCGGCTGTGAAATAAATCCATCGGCACAATATTGTGCTGGCCGGCACAAAATGTTGCCGACCGGCAAACAGTTCCTGAGTCGGGGCAGTTTCGGCAATTCACTTCGGGTGTTTTAAAATAGGGTTTCAAACCCTATTTTCTCACTTCCCTTCCGCCGAAAACTCTCACCCTCTCTCTCTAGAGTGTTTTTCTCTCCTTTTTCGCCCGTTTCTTCGCGTTCTACGCCCGTTTCGTCGTTGGATTTGCGATTTTCTTCGCGTTTCGGACATTTTCAACCGAACACATCTTCGTTTCGGTGCCTCGTTTGGCGTTCCTACCTTTTTGGAGTTTGTTCCCCTTGCTTTTCTCTTGATTTTCGTGCCCTTTCACATCCCGGCCTTTCCGGTCATTTTCGGCCTTCCCGGGAGTTGACTTTTCGGTTGACTCTTCGTATTCTAGCCCGGTTTTCCTTCCTCCGGCTATTTTCTCATTATTCTCGACATGGCGGACGACATTCCACGCAGCGGGACTCCCCTGGACCACGAGATGGATCCCGAGGTCGAGCTTCTACCTTTGCGCGAGCGCCCGTTCGACCCGGCGACCTACCGGCCGGCGATCCATGTTTTGCCCCCCGACGGACTCCACTAGTTTCGGAGCTTCGAGAGGCACGTGCCACCCGAGCTATTGCTGCACGAGCCTACCTCTCACCTGTCCTTCGGCGTTTCTGAGGTAACTCTCTTTCCTCTTCTTTACTTTCTGCAATGTAGGGCACAAAAACTGTCGTAGCTTATTTATGCTCTTTAACTGCTTGAATCTGATATGCTATACCGTAGTTGACTGTAAACATACATACAACTTATATCTGCTTGAAACTGACACATGCACACACACTGCACTAGCCCTGAATCACCCAAACACACGGCGCACATTATATACACGCTGGTACTCGATATCTGCTTGAATCTGAACGTATGCACACATGATATACTGTACTGAACCACCCGAACACGCTGACGCATCACACGCTGTAGTTCACTGTAAGCACACCGGCACCCGGTAGCTGTTTAAATCTGTTAAACTTGCACACATGCTACATCTGTACTGAACCACCAAAACACGCTGAGACATCACACGCCGTAGTTCACTGTAAGCACACCGGCACCCGGTATTTGTTTAAAATCTGTTAAACTTGCACGCATGCTACATCTGTTCTGAACTACCCAAGCACGCTGACTCATCACACGTTTGTAGTTCACTGTAAGTACACCGGCACCCGGTAGTTGTTTAAATCTGTTAAACCTTCACGCATGCTATATCTGTATGCTTCTTAAAGCTGTATTTTGAATGTTGTCTTGCCATTGTTATTTTCTGTTTACAGGAGGGTTCCCATACCATCCGCGGGTATGGGAACACTGGCGCTCGGGAGTGGTACGACGAGCTCCCTGACGCGGTCCGTCGCATAGTGGACCGGGCGAGTTTCGGCGCCTTCTGCCGAGGGCTCTCGCGACTCACTACTTGCAGACCTCTACTCGCCGCTCTGGCGGAGAGGTGGTGGGACACCACCGATTCTTTTCACTTCTCCACAGCAGGGGACATGACGATGACCCCTTACGACTTCTTGATGCTCACAGGCATCGGGGTAGGGGGTGATCTGATCCCGTTTGATATCGACATGGATGAGTGGACCGCCGTTCAGGTCTATCTGTTGGGGGGAGGCCCCACCTCTCACTCGCCCAGGTTTTGTGCGGTACTCCTGGTTCGAGGTACAGTTTAGGGTCCAACCCACTCTCGGTGATGCAGATCCGATGACCCCGGAGGCCGAGGAGAGGTACGCCCGCGGCTTCCTCATGTTCTTATTTGGGACGACCATCTTCGCCGATCGGGCGAACACCGTGCCTCTCTGCCTTCTCAGCGCACTGGTGGACGTCCGGGACATTTTGCACTACGACTGGGGTGGCGCCGCTCTGGCCACCTTCTATGGGTATATGAGCTCGGCTTCCCGCGGCAGCGGCCAGTTGCTCGGAGGCTATTGGCGGGCTTGGGAGGTACATTTCTTCTCCGCTTTTCATTTCTGTCCGATATTTTCTGTACTCTGTACACTGCACACACTGTAGTCTGCTCTATACTCGCTGTATACTGTACACACGGCACACACATATACTCTGCTTCACACTGACTGTACACTGCTCACACTGTACACTGCACACAATACACTGCACAACACACGGCTCTGCCATTTCTGCTTTATTCTGTATATTCTGTTTTTTTCTGATAAATGCACTGGTATTTACCTTGCAGCTGTGGGTTTACGCCTACTTTCCTAGGCTTTCCCCCGTACCACTCACAGAGACTCCTCTGGTCATCCCGTTTTCACGTCGTTTTGACAGGAGATGCACCCGGAGGCCACGAGAGACATTCGGCTTTTTCCGCCGATACTTCGACACCATCACCCCCGCGGAGGTATGTTTTACTTGCAGTTTATTTAAGCTTCGCCTTTCCACTGCATATTTCAAAGACAGTAGATAACAAACTGTATTGGATTTTCAGATCACCTGGCAGCCTTGGGTTCCTTTGCCAGCTGTGACGCGGGATCGGTTTGCCGGTGCCGATGAGACCTCACGTTTCCGGATCTTGTTGGAGGGCCCGGTCTGTCGGGCTTGGTACCTGGGGGAGCGTTTCCTACGCCAGACCCTAGGGTTACCTGAGCAGATAGTCCCGGTTCACCCTCCTGCGGATATGAGGGAGACCGAGGGGCTCACGACCGAGCAGATGGACGATTTCACTATTGGCTGGGAGGAGGCCCGCTTCAGAGGCACCGGCGACTACCGGGAGTACGTGCTGACGTACCTGATGCGACCCCTGAGCGGCGGCCGTCGAGCGAAGGGGGCTAGGCCCGTGGCGCCAGCGGCTGGGGCAGGAGCGGGAGCTTCGAGGAGGGCCCGAGTCCGTGGCAGGGGCGGAGTTCAGGGAGGACGGGGGGCTGGCTGGCTCGCCTTGCCTGCTGTACTGACTTTCCGGGGGCAGGGTGGGGCGACCTATCAGATCTCCTTCGCCCCTCCGCCAGCTGATCACGAGTTCGTCGGTGTCCCCGACTTACCTCCGGTATGTATTACTGCACTTTTGTATAGTCGTTTCATTTCAGTTTATTTGATATTCCACAGAATATTGATGCATCTGATACTTTTACAGGCTTCTTCTGCGTACACCCGACAGTTATTGGAGATGAATGCCTCCATGATGGGGATGCTCCAGCGGACCTTTGATCTCCTGGCCCTCTACAGCATTCCGGTATGTTCTTCTGACACTGGCCTCAAACCATTCATACACTGCTTCACATAATCTGATGCACGGCACAACACCTGATACACTGATCTCACAGCATCTGACACACTGCATATACTGCATTCTGCACTGTACCCTGCACTGGTAAACTGCTCACGGCATTCATACACTGTACTCTGCATTCTGCACTGATAAACTGCTCACGGCATTCACACTGTACTCATACACTGCATTCTGCACCGTTAAACTGCCCACGGCATACTGATGCATTTCCCTTTTTATGTGCTTTTTCAGCCTCCTTTCCAGATTCCCATGGCAGGAGGTGCTTTAGCTGGACCTTCCGTCCCTGTCCGAGGGAGAGATGAGGAGGGCAGAGTATTCCCCCGCACCAAGGTGGGGCGTGCTCATGTCGAGAGCAGCTCGCGAGCTCCAGTCCCGGATGATGATGATGACAAGGAATTAGAGGCGAAGGCAGAGGCGGAGTCCGAGTCATCGGAGGAGGAGACCGGAGGCAGTTCTAGCTCGGACTCTGACGACGATGCTGATAATGCTCCTGGACCCTCGTCCAGGAAGAGGACCAGGACAGACTGATGGCCCCTGGAGTCGTTGGACATAGATTTTTGTTGTTTTTCTTTTCTTTCTTGTACTTTTCCTTTTTGATAGTCAGGATACTTGGTACTGCCACAGACAGATTTTGTTTTCCTCAAAACTTTGTACTTGAAAAAGATTATGAAATGAACAGATTTTTGCTTAAAAAGTGTTACATTTACATATCTCATGTATTGCATCGCATTCCATCATGTTACACCTCAATGTAAATGAAATTGATTGGTTATCTGAAAATTGAACACTTGCACTGTAATAATCAGATAATTAAACAGCCAACAGCAAAATAACCCAAGCGACCCACTGTCTGATTCTTGGACACACAGCCCTTACTCTGTGGGGATTAATCTGCATACAGCCCATAACACAGCATTCGGTTCATTCTGCACATAGCACACCCCGAACAAACAGTCCAATCTGACAAGACGGAGCTCAAAGATGGAACCGGTTGGAGTTAAAACACGTTCAAATGTAGAGAATGGCACAGCATTCTGAGCATAAGCGATTTTTGAAATTGAATAAGGGTTTTTCAGACTGGGACGTCGAGCCTACAACTGAACACAGTGGGGAGGACTCAAATATAGGTACACGACCTAAACACAACGAGACACGCTCGAAAAAGACCTATACCACTGAACACAGCGGAGAGGACTCAAACAAAGAGGTACACGACCTAAACACAACGAGACATGCTCGAAAAAGACCTAAGACAAAGGTTGAGGTAAACAAAACCAAAGACACGACATACAGACGCATTAGCGAAGATGGGAAACCTCGGACCACGAGGAGCCAGTTTCTCTGGGTATTATCTCCCACCCTTTCTGATTTGTGATTCTCACATCACTCAGCTCTCGAGCTCGGATTTTTTTCTCAAAAACCCTTTTCCTCACTTTTCTCTCAACTTACACCTCTCTATTCTTCAATCTCTCATTTTTCATCCCTCCCCGGGGTGATTGATGGATGAATAGGAAGTTGTGGGTTCATGCTCAATACCGTTAGCTCACGGCTATTTCTTCTAGCGGGCAGAGTGCTCTTCTGGCAAGTACGTCGATGACGGGGGAGAGACAGAACGCCTGGCTCAACTGTGCCCCTAGTTCATCATTTTAACCATTTTTTCGTTTTTATTTTCTACTAAAACGGTTTTGATCAAAATGAGAGTCGGATTAACGTACTTGTTCAATTTTTGATTTGAAAAGCGTGCGAGTCAGGCCGCAAGCACCGAAAATTTTCCTTTTTTGGGTCCAAGACAATGGTCCGATTTTGGAAAATGATATAGTTTTCGAGAAAATAGTCAACCCCAGTAAAAATTTTCAAAAACTATTTTTCAAACAGCTGATGCTCGACAAGCATGGAGCTTACCCTTTGAGATGCGCAACCTCAAATCGGAGATACTTTTGCAGGCTTCTTCTGTTTGTAAGGAGGGTGGGAGGCAACGGAAAGTTGCCCCTAGTTTGAATGGCGTCTCACGACGGCTTGTGGCAACGGAAAGTTGCCCCTTGTTTGGGATGGTGCCGCAGCAATCCGCAGACAGTCTTCATTGGCGGTGGCCGAACTCTTGGACACAGAGGTGACGAAGACGGTCACAACACATATATGGACACAATCACCTTTGAAGGGTGTTGGTGGCTGGACTTTGAGATGAAATCGAAACCATTGCATGGACTGAGACGCTTATGACAGCGTTGGGGGCTGGACTTCATGATGAAGTTGCCTACTTATCCCAAACATGGGAATCAAGCCTTACGTAGTTCCGGTTAAGGTCCACTCGGGTATTTTAACCTTCACTTTGTTTGGCTCTCACTTTTGCCAAGGCGCCCAATGCGGGTTTTCGACCTTGCGAGCTTCTTTTCATTTTCTATTTCTTCTTTTTGTGTTGCATTTTTCTTTTTCTTTTTCTTTCTGTATTTTTTTTCTTTTCTTTCTTTTGTATTTTTCTCTTGCTCTAACTTTTGCCTGGACCGCCCTTCCGGGTTTTCGGCCCAGCGAGCCTCTCAAAGGGTAAAAGTGTAGCAAGTCCATGCCAAATGGTTTCTTGAAATTGAAGCCTCTCTGTGTCCAAGAGAACGGCTGTTGCACTGATTTGCGGAGAATCCATCAGGGTTACTCTACGAGCTTCTTCCGGCGAAATCTACTCCTTCTGATTCGGCCTTGATGCTTCTCGATCGAAGGCTACCTCAAAACTGGCCACACGGGCCTTTCATGGCGTTAAATAGGTTGAATCTTGAGGCTAAGAGCGATCCTAGGCTGCGCAATCTCAAGAGCGATTCCACACAGGTCTTCGCAGGGCCGCGTAAAATTTTTGTTTTTGAAAGTTTTTAAGAAGGCGACGAATCACTCGCGCCGAAGATAGTGTGGAACCAATCTGGATCAGGCCAGGGTCCTTCTCAGTACTCATGCCGACAAGCATGGCTTTATTCATAAAAAGACTTAGCACGCCTCTCTTTCTCTCAAAATGATCAAAAAATTTACAAAACCCGAGGAATTCCTTCCTCTTCGTTTTCATCACCGCAGTGTTCAAAAGGTTTTTCTTTTTTGAAAAACTTAGGTTAATGCTATGAGTTTGGCGCGCAGGAGAGCAGGCGAGATGTACTGTCAGCCCAATCAGATTCTCTGGCACTTATGCTGAAAGCAAGCATGAAGGTTCAGATAGCAACAGCTGTTTCAATCGGCTTTGTTGGTGCAACTGGCCCCTCAGTAGAGACAGACTCAAAACAAAAACAGATAATTACAAAACAAAACGGTGTTCGAGGCAACAACCCCAGAATCACCTGGTATTATATACAACGGGGACTGACTCGATACAACAAGACAGACCCTTAAGAAAAAAAAGACTGACTCAAGACAAAGAGACAGACTCAAAACAAAAGACTGACTCGATATCCAAGCCAGGATTTACAAAACTCGGTTTCACCGATGCTCAAAAATGCGTGCCAGACGCTTTATCCAAAATGTACCAAATGTTGCCCGCAGGCGGTTCACTTTACATACTCGCAGTATCTGAGCCCTCGAAATCCAGCAACTGGGTGGTTACGGGCTTGCCCGAGATAGGTGGTAGGATAACCTTGTTATCAATCAAATCCTGCACTTCATGACGAAGGCGGGAACATCCATCGGTACTGTGACCGGACTGTTGATGGTACGCGCAGTACAAGGTAGCATCATGAGTGGCGGGGAGGTTCTCCGGGAGTGGCCGGGGCTCCAAAGGCTTAAGATGCCCATTCTTTGCCCTACCAAAGTCCAGTCGATGGCCCCACTTTTGGTCGGTGACCACTTCCTAATGGCCGGTGGTCCTATCTTTTGGCCGGTGACATCCCACAATGCTCAGGGAGTAATTCAGAGGCATCTCAAGGATTTTCACAGTTCTCAGAGGTGCAAAACAGTGCAAATAGACGCAACATGTGGCGTGGCAACGGGTTTCCCAGCGAGGCGAATCGAGCATGCATGCATTTGACCCTGTTCCCGAGGCAGCTTTACTGCTTTAATAGCTTAATTCATTTGTTAATTAATTAAGGTTTTGTAATATTTAATTAGCTAGAGTAGTTAATTATTTATTTGGTTTGTATTATTCTTTTGGCCCCTCCGAGAGAGGGCGAATTTTGTAACAAGCGTGCGTGTGTGTGATGTATGTCTTCCAACCCCACGTCTTTCTCCCTTTTATTTACCAGCTTATGATGGTCAGTTTAGGGTACGTTTCAATTAGCATACTTATGCTCGCATGTTTGCATCCATTTATCTGTCTTGCATGCACCGGGCTCGGCGCATCATACTAACTGCATTGTATTTTAATCCCGAGTTGAATACGTGTATCAGTTGTTGTATTTCATATGCCATTTTAGAATAGTCGAGCCTATTTTAGTTGTATTTTTGCATGTGTTGCATTAAGCATTTCAGCATAGTTAGGATTCATGCATGATTTCTAATAAGTTTCTTTCTTCGGCTTGGAGTACTCGGTAAGTATTTATGCTTTAGCATTGTAGACGCGCCCGCGGAAGGGGGCCTTATGCTACTACAGTTCGGACTCGCGATTTTGTTGTCGCGGTTCTTAATCTGAACCAAAGAGTCCAAATCTGGCAAATCGTTTTGAGAAACAGATTTTTGAAAAAGTAGTGCCAAACATGGACTGCTTTGCCAGATACAGAGTCGCCACCTAAATATTTTAAAATGGGAAATGAGACACAAACCCTAATTCGGTGCCGAAGGCCACATGTCCGTCATCACCGGAGTTGTCTCGGCTCGGGAACTTGGGTACGATTGGGGAAGGTCAGCTATGAGCACCCCCTTTCGCCCGGTCCGAAGACCGGCCTCTACTAACCATGATATCCGATTTTGAAAACATTACGTGTTCTTATTCCATTTATTAGCCTAGAATTACTACATTATGCATGCAGCAAACAAGTATAGACTAGATTGCCTAATTTGGAAATAAGCATTGCATATCCGTTTGTTTTGAAAAACGCTTTGGAATTTGCTGCTCGCAAGTAGGCTTAAAACACGGATTTCAACGAGTTTTCCCAACTCAAACAACCCAACCTTCACCCACAGGCATTCAAACAGTTTATCTCACATAAGCGCTTAGCCACATGATAAGCATACTATCATGGCAGCATTCACACGCATGTGGTATGCTAAAGCATAAATACTTACATCGTACTCCATGCCAAAACAAAGAACTTGTTAGCAAACATGCATGATCCAAGTCCACGTTACGTGCCTAATGCATCGCATACAAAGTGTTGCTAGAATAGGC